TATATATATATGTATTATATATATATATATATAATATATATATATATAGTATATAAATTATTTGTGTGTGTATTGTATATATATATATATATATAATTATTATATATATAATATATATATATATATTATATATATATGATATGTGGTTGTGTAGTGTGTGTTGTGTGTGTGTGTGTGTGTGTGTTGTGTGTGTGCATGGTGTGTGTGTGTGTGGTGTGTGGTGTATTATATCTATGGGTATATATATATATATATATATATAAAATATAATATATATTATATATATCATGTATAATAATATATATGTATATATACATTATATGTATATAACATTATTTCAACAAACACACACGCACACACACACACCCACACACACACACACACACCACACACACACACACACCCCACACATATTATGATATATATATTATATATATAATTATATATATAATTATGTTGTGTGTGTTGATTTTTGCTATAGCGCTTCCAGATCGGCGGCGTCGCTGCCGTGTTGCGTCCGCCTGTCTGAGTCTCTGTGCGTGCTCGCGTGTGCCTTCTCCCTGTGGCGTCTCTCCAGGTGAGTAGGCGTCTCCCGTGACCTGACGTCGACGCCCATCCAAGATCTCTCTCCCTGAGCCTTCGTACCCACTTCGAGGATGCTGCATCTCCCGTGCATAATTCTGTCAACCTGGCCTTCTGAAGATTTACTCTCATACCCTGCCTGCCCCTCAAGATCTCTCTCCCTGCCTTCTCTCCCCCTTCGAGATCTCTCTCCTGCCTTCTCCCTCCTTCGAGATCTCTCTCCTGCCTTCTCCCTTAAGAGATCTCTCTCCCTCGTCCTTCTTCCCCTTCAGATCTTCGTCTGCGCGTGCGCGGTCTCCTGCCTTCTAGATTGCTCTGTCTCTCCCTCCTTCTAACCCTTCCAGATCTCTCTCCCTGCCTTCTCCCCCTTCGAGATCTCTCTCCCTGCCTGTTCTCTCTCTCCTCCTATGCAGATCTCTGGCGTGCGCTGCTCGTGGCTGCGCGCTGCCTATACGGTAGATGGTTCTTTGTGCTATTCGGCGCTGTCCTGTGTCCCCGTCTTACGAGATGCTGTCTTTCCTGTGCCTTCTCCCCCTCCAAGATCTCCGGGTCGTCCGTGTCGTGGGGCTTCCTCCTTCGAGGTGGTGCTGCTGTCTTGCTCACTTGTCTGTGCGTCCCTGGCGCTCATAAGATGTGCTCTCTCGTCCTTGCTCTGCGCGTCTTCGAGAGTGCGGTGCTTCTCCGCGTGGCCTTCTCCCCCTTCGAGATCTGTTCTGTCCCTCTTGCCTGGGCGCCCTTTTGGCGGATATCGTTCGTGCTCCGCTGTCGCTTGCTTCCCTGTCCGTGCAAATGATCTTATCTTTTCGTAGCTCGCATTCTACCCCACTTTTCGTGATGCTCGTAGTCTAAGCGACATTGACCTATTATCGCCATTGTCTATGAAGTAGTTCTACTCTCCTCTACGACCCATTATTACCTCCACCTGGCAAGTTACCTACTCTCTCCCTTGATGGGCCTTTCTCCCCTTCAGTATAGATACATGTACGATCTACCCATCGCACTCTCTCTCCACCTATCTGATAGATACTTTATCACCATCACTCTCTCTCCTATGTACTCATAACTCTTACTTAGACCAGTATCTAAAGAAGTCGATAACTCTCCCTGCGTCGTTACTCCCGCACATTTGAGGTATGTCTTTCGGCCCATGCCCAATATTCCACTCCATTCATAAGAATCTTCTTTCTGCCCTGCACGTTTCTTCCCCCTCACGGAATTGTAAATCTCCAATAACTCCACTATTGCTTTTCCTCCCTCCGCATTGCAATCATCCCTGCCTTCTAACACCCCTTCTAGATTTGCTCTTCTCGCCTTCTCCCCTTCGAGATCTTCTCTCCCTGTCTCCTTTTACTTACACTATCATTACAGAGATCAATGCTCAGTCTCTGCCATTCTCTCCTTCCGACTTCCTGAGAGCTTCTCTCACCATCTGCGCGTTCTCACATACGTACCTTTCGAGAATCTCTATGTATCCAAAATGCCTATCTCCCCCATTACGCGGAGAATCTTTGGCGCTGGCGTGCATGTCCCCTTCAGAAATGGAATACTACATCGCTCCCTGCCTTCTCCCCTTCAAGATTCTCTCTCTCACCTGACTCCTGTACTTCTCTCTCTCTATTCGATGAATAGCTATTCTCTCCTTCTGTGATACATCTTTCTTCCCACCTTACAGAGCATCTCGTATTCCTCAAATCACTCACATGCTCGCTTCTCCTACTCTCAAGATCGTACTCTCTCCATTCCTGTGCTTTCCCCCTTATACCGAGATACATCTCTCCCGTCACGTGTCCTCCCCTTCGAGATCATCTTTACGTGGCACTTCTAGACTTTCTCCCCCTATCAAGATCCTCATTCTCGCGTGTCTACTAGCTCTGTCTTGATATAACTCTCATCTCTACCACCTGACGCTATACTCCGGCACCTCAAGGATCTACTCTTCAACACTCCTTCTTTTCTCCACTCTACCCGCGAAGCTCTCTCTTACACACTCCCTTACCATACATCCCTCACTTCGATATCTATTTCCCTCCCTTCTTATATGCTGCGCACTCATCCAAGATCTCTCTACCCTGCCTTACTCCACCTAAGTTCCGCCTTCTAATTCTTCCCTGGACCTTCTCTCCTCCATTTAACTGGAGTTAAGCTCTCAGTTTTCATACACAGTGCCTATCTTTCCGCCCTTGCGACTAGTACTCCTCCTAGCCTCTTCCCGGCGTTTCATTTGCCCTCGCTTCCACTTCGGGAAAGATCATTTCTACCTAACAGCTTCGAACTTTCTCTCCCTATTCTAAGATTTCCTCTCTCTCCCTGTCCTTCTCCCCTTTCGAGATCTTCTTCCCTGTCCCTTCTCGCCCGCTCCGAGATTCTCTCTCCCGGCCTTCTCCCCCTTTCGAGATGCTCTCTCCCTGCACCCTCTCCCCCTCCCCCCCTTCGCACGATCCCTCTCTCCCGTAGCTCTTCTACACTTCCCTTCGAGATGCTGCTCTGCGCGCTGTCCTTGTGCTACCCCCTTTCCAAATAGATCCCTCTTCCCTGCCTTCTCCCTTCCGAGATCTCCTTATCCCTGCCTTCTTCTCCCCTTCTGATGATGGCTCTGCGTCCCTGCCTTCCTCCCACCTCCAAGTACTCTCGTCTTCTCTTCCATCCTATTACCCCCATGTTCGAGATATTTCTAGGCTAATACGCCCTAGGGGACCTCTCTTCCCCGGATTACGAGCATATTTCTTACCTGCGTACATAGCGCCTGCCTTACTCCCGCATCAAGTATCTCTTGATCATTCTCTGCACTTTGCTCTTCATCTCACTCGCACATATGCGAGAGAATTCGTCATTTTACCCGTACTCCCGTATCTCCTCCCAACATTTATGTACGCAGAATGCTACATACATACTCGGAGTAATATCATGGCGTGTGCGCCCAAGCTTACATCTCAGAGAATAAAGATACCAATCTCTTCTCTCACCTCAGTGTCCCTAATTATGGAAAAATAATTTAAATAAATAACATCAACAACGACGCGCATTAACCGTCCCTCTTCGACCCCATCTCGGCGAACGGGATCTCTCCCAATCTGGTCCCCGCCCCTGCCTTCTCCCCACTCCTTCGATGTATCTCTCTCCCCTGCCCCTTTTCAGCGGGTCCCCTGTCGCTTGCCCTTGAGCAAGGAAGCAGATAGGCTCTCTTTGCTCGTCTGCCCTCGGCGTCTCCGTGCTCCAGCCGTGCAGTCCCCGAGGGACAGGGATTCATTGCCTAGGAGTTCTCTAGTGCGCCTGCCTGTCTCCCCTTACGGATCTCTCTCCCTGCCTTCTGTGTCCAACTCGCCAGCCGTGCTGCGGCAAGCACCGCAGGAAGGCCGCTCTGCTCTGCGATACGCTTCTGTCGCAAGCGTGGGTAGACTGCGAATTCTCCGGGACCTCGAGCCATTCTTCTTATGTCTGTGTTCACATGCATTTTCTCGTGGAACGGAATTCCCCTCAGCCATACCGCCAGGCCTCTCGCTTTCGTAGCTCTCTAACCCGCCCACTAACGCCGCCCTTTCCGTTGACTTAGTAGTCCTTTGCCAACGTACTACGAAAATCACGTTTTCTCCCGGGGGTCCCCCTTGGTTCACCTCCCTGCCCTGGTCTCCTCCGCTAGTCTAGTGCTACAGCGTTCTTACTCTCCCCTGTGGCTCAAACATTTCTCCTTACCGGGCCTGTTCACTCCTTAGAGACAGAAGAAAATTCTGCGCATTACTTCACCTACATGGCGGACTTTGATATCCGCGAAGCAACTTCACGTTCAAGATGTCTACTCTCTCGCCTTTGTGCCATCTACGTGGCACCTTGCTTAGCGTCGATTCTTTTCTCTCTTCCTCACCTTTGTCTCTCGTTGTCGATCCCCCGCAGGCGCAGGTCCCCTCTACAGTCATCCTTCACAATGCGTCTCGCTGCATCGTGTCCACTTGGCCCATCCCAATCGTACACCCTGTGCCTCACCTAGCCAAATGACCCCGAGTTATTCGTCCTTAATACACACATTTCTGATTCTCTCTTATAGCTTCAAACCTCTCCTGACGCCGCAGGATACTCTCTGTTCGACCACATAAACATGTTTTAAGCCCTACCTGTATCGTCCCACTCCCTAATAAGGAGAGATCATCATCATAACTCCTGCGACTACCATGCTATGATGTACTTACCACCTATCTTTGACGACCGACTCTTCTCCCTGCTCGCGTGTGGAGCACCACTTCACTTTCTCCGCATAAATATCATACAGACACCAATAGCCATATAACATACCACAACCATCAAAAGATAACTTACCTCTTACTCTTGACCCCATGCTTCTTTAACCTCCTGTGAAAAAAAAAAAAAAAAATACCTAGCTTGGCTGACGTACCATCCCCTTCACTCTGGGCCTCTCTGCCCGGCAGATGGCAGCCTGAGCGGACTCCTGCGGCTGTGCCTAGCTCACATGCGTGGGCCTCCAAGAAGGAGCGCAGGAGAGCCTTGACTATGGGAAACCCCAAAGTCAGAAACATTGGGACTATCCAAGAAAGCTTCGGCTCAAACTTCAATCCCTTCTTCAGTCTAACACGGGTATGCGAAGGCTGGAGATGGTTCGCTTGTTGATGATGTTTTATTACTATTATCATCAGTTGGTATTCATTCAGCGTGTGATGTTTTGTTAATATTTTACATTTTTTAGAGCAGATTTCCCGTTTCATTGGGATGTTACAGTACCTATCTATTTACTTTAGGCCGTAATGCCCCCTGTAAGAAAGAGTTGATCGAGGCAGAAAGAGAAGAGAGTATATCCTTGTACACGCGAATGAACATGCGCTGTTGCAGACGAAGTGAGGCCAAAGCATGGTTATAGTTCTGGATTAAATTTCTAGGCCATATGTGCATGCGTTTACTATTACTCCTTTTTCATACCTTATCTATCAGTATAAGTTAAGTCAGTCTTTTTATAAGTAGTCAAATGATACTGACCCAAGTAGTGGTGCACGTTGATGCCTTCGACTCTGCGGGAAATCTAAATTGCTGAAACCTAATGCTTATAGATTATACTAAAAGGAATGGTATGTAAATCTAGCATACATAAACTTAAATAAAACATAACTAGAACTTACAATGATAATAGAAATGAAAATGATTACGCAACATAAAACACCCAATTGAAACAGTTGTATTAACGCTCTTATAAAACATGTTTAACAATATTGTTTATAATCATTATTATAATATTTTTTTCATGGATTAACTTAATTATCAGTATTTTTGGTTATCTCCATTTTATTGTTGGTACTATTATTGGTATTTCAATTGTTATTACCATTATTATCATCATTGTTATCATAGGATTCATCGTCATCAAGATCATCGTTGATAAATACATGATCATCATCTCTATTACCCTTATTATACTCTTTATTATCATATTTATCACCATTATCATCATTATTTCCGTTGTCATTATCGTTGTCACTGTTTTGTTTTTGTCGCTTGCCTTGGCCAGGCTTTTAACTCCTTCATTAATGATTCTCGCGAAAGGGAAGGGGGCTGTGGTCTGTGTTGCCAGTTTCTGAATTTTGGAAGAATTCGCAACTGTCGACCCTTAATGTTACTCTAATTATTATTGGTTCTGTTGTTAATAGTTATGTTCATTTGAGTGGTGACAACAACACAGTTATAATAATGTTGTAATCATAGTAATGATGATAATGACGATATGATAATGATAATCATAGTAATGAAAATGGTGATCATGACAACAAAAGGCAACATGCATGTTAAATTTCATTTTTAATATTACATTAAGCGTTATGGTAATTATTATTATTATTATTATTACTTTTATTATTATCATTATTATTATTATTATTATTATTATTATCATTATTATATTATTTTATTATTACTATTATCATCATTATTTCATTATTGTTATCTGCACCATGATTATCGTCATTATTATCAACATCATGTTATTATGATTATCATTATTATCAATATTTTCGATTATTGATTATAGCGTTACAGCAACTATCATCATGCAAGTGCTAATAGAAATCATTAGCAATGGAGGTCGTAATATTAATCTTGTAAGCAATGATAGCTGTGGGAGATCTTAAGTATGCTGCTGATAGGGAGCATAATGGCAATGATGATGATAAGTAATTGGTATGATGATGACGAGTCTAGCTTTAGTGGTGAAAACTTAAACACTGATAACAATTTGAATAGCAGTGAAAGTTTTTTTTTAGTGAGGTACTTGATAATGGTGATTATCATAATGCTAGTAAGGATAATGATTTTACTATAACTATATTATGGTAATCATGATAGTAGTGATAATTTGATGATATTGATGATGATAATGATAATAATGATGATGATGATAATAATGATGATGATGGTAATGATAATAATGATGATGATGATGATAATGATAATAATAGTTGTAGATATTGATAAGATGATAATAGTAGTAGTAGTAGTAGTAATGATAATGATAATAACAAAAATGATAATCATAATGAATATGAAGATAAAGATGATGAAAACAATAGTAATGATAACGATAAGAATAACAATAATGATTATAATAGTGATAATCTTGATCATATTCTTGATATTAGTGACACAGTACCAAAGCTCTAAATTAAAAGTAAAAAAAAATATCAACGACCATGTAAAAGTTTTAAATAGTCATAATACTCAATCACAACACATCTGTGAAGTAATTTCATGTGATTGTGATTTTTATTCCAAGAAAGGGAATGCAGTTTTAGCTGTTGTTTTGCGAGAAACCGCTCTGGC